CGGCAGTTTTGTTGGTGGTTTTTGTCGGGCGCGCTTTTGTCGGGCGCGCATTTGACGGGTCACAGTTATGATGAGATAAAAAAGGAGGAAGGAATATTGAATATGTTCATCACCTTGATTTATTTACAAAAGTAATAAAGGCAAAATTAAAAAAAAAATGTGTGCATCTCAGCATGAAAAAATCCCTTCCAAAATCTGAATACTATTCTTTCCATCTTCCTTCTGTTCTTTCCCTTCTCTTTTTCTCTGTCTACATATTGTTGTCAAATTTCTCACTAACTGCCTGGATTAGAAGTGGCTAATCCCAAGAACAACTGATCACTGATTAGTAGGTTTATTATGAAGTAGGTTAAAGCAGCAACAAAAAAAATTCTAATGCCAATTCTATTTTTAGATGAGAAGAAAGAAAGAAAGAAAGAAAGAAAGAAAGAAAGAAAGAAAGAAAGACTGTCTATAAATGAAACTTGTTATTTATTTATTTTTGATAAGATTAACTTGCTTGTATTTGGAGACTGTTTACAAATAATTATTAGCCTCCTTGTCAATGTGACAACCAGCTCTTATAATCATGCTTCTATAACTTGAAGACAGCCTCTAATTTTCCTTCTGGGCAACTCCTTCTTACTGAAACAACCAAAGTTATTTTTTTTATAAAGAACCTTTGATCAGCAAAGATTTTTTTTAGGATTGCCACTAGCTTCTCAAAAATGGTGAATATCCTCTAGGGGAGCAAACTGACACACGAATTTGTAATGCTTATAAAACTACTCACAAGCTCACAGGGTGCTGAGTTAACTAAGCAATTTTTTTCTCATTTAATTTTCATTTCCCTTAATGTAGAGAGTAAGGGAGATAACACTGACAGATAATCAGAAACACTTACTGAGACAAAAGGAATGGCCTGTTTTTAAGGTCTTCAGTAAGATAAAATTATGAAGTAGCTCAGGCAGATACCTCTCTAATTCACTGAAATATGAGGATGGGGTACAACATAATCAGATCTGCAAGGTTCTATTATTATACCCAATTTCAATAAAAAGTAATTTTAGCCTTCACGTGAGGTTATTTTTCTGGTCAGACTGCCTAGTGGGACTAACATTTACCTTGGTAAATCACAGAATAAGGAGATTGATGTTTTATATTGTTAGTCAAAATATTTTCAATGCCCTTGCTCCAATCACTATTCTGTACTAAGAAATCTTTGTCTCAATTCCTAGTCTCTTCCCCTAAATACTCCCATCTGATGTATGCCTTCTCCATGAAAACCCCTACTCTATGGAGCACTCTGCCACGATGTTCAGCAGGCTTCCACTCTATTAGCTTTCCATAAGGCTTTGAAGACCTCGCTTTTCCCACAAGCACAGGGAGAAGACCAACACTTTAGAACTTTGATTTGGCACCATTTTTTTTCTTGTTTTAATTGGTTTGGTTTTATAGTTTTAATGTGATTTTACATGTTTTAGGTCTTTGGAAGCTACCCAGAGTTGGATGAAAGATGGGCAGCTACAAAAATATTTTAAATAAAATAAATAAATCCCACCTTTCATAACTGACAACCCTATAGGCCAGAAAGGAATCCATGCTCAGCAACAGCAGAACCCATATGTCTGGGCTTAGATCAGTGGTTCCCAACTTTTTTTGGCATGCCCCACCTAAGCATCTCTAAAATTCTGATGCCCCCCTGTGACATATAATTCTTACTTTACTCAAAAAGTGAACTCTACTCATGCGGAGGAAACCTAAAAGGCCATTAACGTGGTTTAAACAAGGTTCAAATTGTCCCCATTAAAAATCAAATTCCCCCCCCCCTGTGGGGCATGGCCCCCACATTGGGAACCATTGGCTTAGATTAATGACCCTCAAGGAGCCTTCTGCCTTCCCTTTCTTCTGGAATAGGGAAAACTGTACCCACAGCCACCAGTTATATGTCCTTTTTTGCTTAGGGGAAAAAGTGTTGCAGCTCTGCCATAACAGTCGTCAACTAGACATGCTGGTATACTTAAAATGACTTATTTCATCCACCCAAACCACTTTGGGTGGTTTTTCAAAAGAGCAGATGTCAGATCTGAGTTTTTTTTCACAGCAGCATTTGTCATTGTGCCAAGCCTTCAGACCACCAACCATCTGTTCCATCCTCTCTAGTACCCAAAGAGGCTTCTGGATACAGTTTCCTTGGGCTTTAAACAGAAGTGCCCTATATCCAAGACTTGAATGCCATTCTGTGAAAGTCGATTTCTTCTCTAAAATGTGTCTTTTTATTCGTTCTTGTGAAGCTCTCTTCTCTCTCCCAAAACAGCTTTTTTTGAAATTTCTGACAGAGGCCGACAGTTCACAGCATGTTTTGGGGAAGCTCAGTTTCAACTGTGGGATGTAAACCTCTATCTATCACCTGCTTACTTTCCATATTCAGATAGGGAAACAAAGAGGAGAAATGACACCTTAAAGCAATTCCTTCACTGCTAAATAAGCTACCGGCAAGACACATAACCTGGTTTCTGACTATGACTGAATTTGCTTATAATAGGTTCGTGTCACAAGTCAGGTGTCAACATTTCAGGCCATCATCACCTTCATTCATGGCTGCTGCCAAATGCTTTTCAGCGTTTCCCTATTCCATGGACCTCCAGATATTCCAAGATATTGCATACTCTCTTCTCAAGGATGAACAGGATTGCACTATGGCCTCCTACAAACACACTGCTGACCATGCTCATAGTGTTTGAGTTCATGTATGGCTCCCTACCAGATTTCTCCACTTTGTAGAACTGGATGCTAACATTTTGGCTCATTTTGTTATGTGGGAATAGAGAGGCTTATAGTGCGTTTCAACTGCCAAATGTCACCATATGACCCTTCCAATTATTAATTAATTTAGAAGGATAGGAGAAACAACCTAGAATCCTAATTTCCATTGCAGCAGGTTGAAAGCTGAACTATGGAGTAAACATATGTTGACCTATAATTTATTGCCAAGCCTGTACGTGAATTCTGACACAATTGTACTCTCACTTTATTTTTACAAATAACAAAAGATTTTCAAATACACTGTCTTACAAAATTGGCAAAATAATACAGAAGGCAATTAAAGCTTTATCTGTGCTAGGGCTTAGTTCTAGACTCTTTAGTTAACAACACAACTGTATCTTAGAATTTATTGAACACCACAAGCCATGTACAGAATAAAAAAAAATTTTATCACTAAGGCTTAAATCCTAACTCTAATCCTTTTAGCTCCTTGAATGAACATTAATTGGAAATACCTGGACAATTCCAATAAGCTCTGAATTTTTCTTTCTGACATGGTGCGCTCGTATTTTCTTTTTATACAGATAGTTTCCCTGAACATCCTCTTTGAAAACATGCAACATCATGTTTTATTTTAGATTACTGATAAAACTTCAATATTTTTTCCAATCTGATCTTTGGTCTTTCATTATTGACAGCAATCTGGTCCAATTCATAGAAGAAAAGCTTCAATCCCACTTCCCAAGGTATGGAAAATCAATTTAAACTGCTGGAAAATGATATTGTCTAATAATATCCACATTTATACTTGCTATTCTTTCTAAGATCATGGTTTATTATGGTGGGGACTAACTTCCTATGATATTTTGGTTTATCCATTTAATGTGACCTGTTGTACTATAAACAACTCTTTTATTTCTGTTGAAACTCAGGAATTTTCTGCTTAATAAATATTTTAGACTATCCAGCTTCTGTTTTACTAGTCCTGGCAACTATACCTACAGTTAATAAGCTTTATCAATAGGAAGATTTTACATCCAGTAATCCACCAATCTGTTTTTCAATTGACATGAAATAATAGAAGGAGAAAGTCTACTGCATTTAACAACAATGTGGAGCATAAGATATGACCAAGGCTCTCACACTGCACTAGACTAATTTAGTACAATATGTTTCATCACAAAGCTGTAGCTCTGCCAATTGCATAATTTACCTCTGCCCTATCTCAGACTCTTCAGCAACTGAATAAATATGACTTTGGGAATGGATGACCTACTATAGAAAAGTAAGGTCAGTAGCAAGATAACATATAATACACACTTGCAGGCGACTAATCCCATTCTGGGGTTATTGGGAACAAGTTCTATTTAGTATGAGGTTGGCCTCATTTTTCCATTAGGTGCTTCATGTTACACATGTAATAATCTTTGCTAAAAGCCATGTCTTCTGGCTTTATCATTTGGAAAGCATTCTCCAAGCGCTCACAGAAAATGTGAGCTCTCACAGATCTAGGTAATGTAGGAATGAATTATTAGAGTACAAAGTGTAACCTGGAAAGAATCCAAGATCGGTGATGTAGTTTTGCAGGCTTGTTTACAAAAACCAAGGCTCAGGTTTGAGGATTCTGAACAGAGACATAAAAGTTATTTGAGTACTGAATTTGAAACCCAAAGAATGTGGGCCATTTTTGGCAGCAGGAAACAAGTAGGCCAGAGGCACCAGCACTGGAAAGTATACTGAATGGGAAAGGGCATATATTTAAAAATAAATAATCACTATTTTTTTATAGTTAGGAAGGAAAAAGAGATCGGGAAACCTGGACAAGAGAACACATAAGTTGAAAACAAACATTTTCCACTGGGAAATAAGTTCCTGAGTGCAATAGTAAAATAGCTTTACTTTGAAAAAGTCATCACTGCCAGGATGATGGCAATTTGTTTATTTATTAATCACATTTGTAGAGCACTGCGATCCCAAAGAACTCTCAGTGGTTCACAAGATTGTGAAAGGGTTGTGATAGGGTTGGCATGTTCCAGATACCAACTCTCAAATGGTATCAACTGGAGATGTGTCTTCTCTGTTGCCATACTTGCTGTATGAAATCCAACCCCTAGATCTCATTAGATTCCCAGGTAGAATAAATGTGAATTTATGTAAGCTACCATAGGTAGTCATTCTGCAGAGTGATAAAGAACATTCACCCTAAGAACAAGCTTCCTCCTCAAACAAGTAAAAACAAGCAGCTTTACCTGAAAGAGTTTCCTTGTTCTAGCAGTTCCATAAAGATCACAGTCTAATCATGTCTTTTAGTGGGAGCAATTCCTTCATTTTTCTGTCCCACAACCATCTCAGCGGGGCCTACTCCAGCACTGCCAACACATATCTCCTCTCTACAAGGTAATCACATGCTAAACATTAAAATCCGAGATCATTTTTTTCTAAAAAGCCTTTGAAACAGCCCTTTAGTGCTAGACCCTAACTAGACTTAAGATGGTGTTATCTAAAGTAATTACATATTTTTCCATTTATTCCTGCTTCGATTCTTCTCTCTTTCATCAGCTTTCCTTGCGTCTATATTTAGACTGCAAGCCTCTTGAATAAGAACCTATCAAGCCTGTTATTTGTAAAGCACATCATACAGATGAGTAAAGTACATAGTTGGTGCTTGAACGCCACACTTCTTACCTTATTGGTTCCACTACAGCCTCACCTCAGCACCACTACTTCGTTGAAATGGGACAACCGTGATCTTCAGTTTCATTAATTGCCATTCTGGAAAACCAATTAACATAAAACAATATTATAATGCCAGTAAGGAATGAGTCCGCTGAGATACTATTATACCCAAATAAAAACAAATTAGTTTAGATCACACACAAAATCAAAGCATATATCCTTCCCCCAAATATATCCTTATAGCTACCAGGAGCCAGGATTAACTCTAAGCCTAAGGTGACTTTCTTACAAATCATGTAAATATCCAACTCATAGAATAAAACCATAATTGAGTGTCTGAAACAATTGTGCACAATATATAAAGCTGGAAAAATCTATGAAAATAGCTTAATAGAAATGCACTGCTCTCACTTGGGAGTCTGCAGTTGAAGGTCAAAGTAATACCTACAGTAGCATTTTTTTCAATTGAAAGTTATTGCTGAAGAGGCTTCAGTATTAAGATTCCCCTTCCTGATCTATTGCAAGTCATACTTACCTATCTAATGTGTTCTTCATATTGCAAATACTGTATATACTCAAGTATAAGCCTAGTTTTTCAGCCCACTTTTTGAGCTGAAAAAAGCCGCCTCGGCTT